CGAGGTCGTGGTTAGAACGCTTGGTTGAGTGCATCAGACAAGACGACGATGAAGAAGTGCTTGCTGCATAGTTAGTGCATCAGAGAAAACGAAGAAGAGCAGCTGATGTAACGTCAAGTTTTCGCCATGTCGAAGACGCACTGTTTTTTTCCATAAATTGCTGACAGTACAATACTGTCTGTAATCTGTAGAATTTACACTTCAATTATGAGACTTTGGTATGAATAAATTCAACAAACAGCTTCACTGCAATTCATGTTATAATGTTAGAATTAAAGAACAATAAACATAATACATATTACCGTTGCACTTATCTGTACATAGTAAATGCACTTGTTTTTACCGTTGCACTTGTTTTTAAGCGGTTGTTGACATCGTATCTAAAATGTGATTTAGCCCAAAAAAAACAACAACAACATTACCACTCGCTAATATTGTCTTGCAATATCCGTGTGTGCATTGGTTCTGCGCGATCCTCTTGTTCAATATTCTCGGGGTCTGAATCCGGCTCAAATTGATATGGCAAGACGGAACTTGCTGCTTTGGCAAGGGGCGTGGCAGTACTGAAACACCGTCCAAGCTGTTTGCACCGTCCAAGCTGTTCGCCAATCACAACGCACTGGGACAGCTAACCAATCACAACACATTTAGTTTTTCATCAAACCCGGAACTAATCGAGCCGTTCGTGCCAGGCTGGGGAGAAAGGTATTGTAATAATGTAAATTATGTGAAAAATAATGCTTTTTTCGAAACACCAAGCATGAGAGCATTTTCTAGTACACCCCCAAAACAAAATCAAGACTTTGTAAAAAAAGCATAATTTAAATTGTTCAAGCTCATGCTTTTTGGTTATTTTAGTTGATCCACAAATATTAAAATATTTAAAAAAAATATTCTTAGAGGGGTCTTTTTTTGTTTTTGTTTTTTTTACATTTCTATTTATTTCATGATTTCAATTTATTGCCGTATTAAGCATGATATTTTTTAGTACCATAGAAGAAAAAAAAAGAAAACCAATTCAGTGGCCATTTAAGTGTGGGTGGCACATTTTACACGTAAACCTGAAACCACCTACCCTCTCCATGGACCCCAAGTAACTTCCAATAATAAATAGGACTTATTATTAATGCTGATACAATCACATTTACCGTTGCTCTTTGTACCTACCTAGGTGTACTTGCTGTATGTAAGCCAGTAGTGCGGGTTTGTTGGCCTCCCATAGGCCGGGAAGCTGCGCCTCTGGAGGAAACTTGCAGCAAGAGATTTCCAGTGTGAGCTCTAAACACTGTGCCCACACATAGTTATAGTCTTGCATTCCACCTAAGAGAACGACACATCAAACTAGTAACTATTAATTGGTACTAACGCAGCAACAAATAATCTGAATGTCTCATTAAGTTAATTACATTTTTCCTACTTTACAATCATGTTACAAAAAATGTATTCGTTACAATTACTACATCAAAATATTAGCTATGTTTGCAGGCACACTGTCATGAACAATTATTAAACTGATGCTTACAACACTTTTACCTGGTAGAGGATACCAGTAATATCCGTTAGTGATGCCGTGGGTGAAGTCCTGCGAATCGTAACAGCTGTTTCCGTTGTGCATTTCTCTGTGGCGGTAGGAGTAGGTCTTTGCCAGGTGGACAAACACGTCGTCGTCTGGGGAGATGCTGTGGCCTCCCTGCAGCTCGCTTCCTGAATCAAAGTCAATGACATTATGATGCTGGACTTGAAAGAATTCCAACAGATTCGCTGTTCATCATTAAGACAAAAGTTTTAACTGTTAAAACTTTTTTTGTGCTTTTTGTAAGGCATAATACCTTCATTATTTTTTAAATAATGACGTTACAACACACAATCATTTGACTTGCTTTTCAGAATAATAATAAAAAAACTTTCTGCTTTCAGAAATTGATTTATGCCTTCAACTCTGTAAAGCCTAGCTTATTATTACAAAGTAATAACACTGTAATAATAATAATAATAATAATAAGTATTATTATTAATATAATTAAATCAATACCTGATGTGAAGGTTTATATCAAATGTACACTAAATTTGCATATCAATTTTAAAACAGTTTGCATGTGTTTTTTGACAACAAATATTCATATTCCATATATCAGCCTTTTATGAATCATTTACCATATAGACCATATGCGCCAGAGAAACAAGTGCACAACCATCACAATGGAAGTCTTTGAACTTACATTTTTGTGGTAGATCTATAGCATTGCTATAGAAACTGCCAAAATAATTACATTGCACAAGTATTCATACCCTTTTCTGGGACACTTGAAATTTAGCTCGGGAACATTCATATCACTTGTAGTTGTTACTACACTTTGAGTTGAGTTAATCAACTCAACACACTCAATGAAAGGTCTAACAGCTGAAGAGTAATTAGCTGGTGAAGTGGATTTACTTAATGTAGAGCTAAAAAAAAAGTTATCATGAACATTGTAATGTACAAAGCAGATGTCATAAATGTCAGTAAGACCAGGAAGATTTTAAAATGAGCAGTTCATTCGTTAATTTGTACGACCTTACCTTCACGCTCTGGAAATACAAACAGAAGACAACAAGTGCAGTGCTAATATATATATCTATATGTATATATGAAAATGAGAGCCATGAAATTATACATGCATATATATATATATATATATATATACACACACACACACATACGTGCATATGTGCAATGCAATGACGAGAGATTGACAAACTCCTCAAAAACCTACTGCATCCTATTTCATATTTTAACATGATTTTTCTAAAATGTATGGATAATCAAGTAAGCATAAGTTGCTAAGTGTTCATCTTCAAATATTACTAACAATTCTTACATTCTTTCAAGTTATTCTTGTATTTACTTAATAAAAATCACTGAAATGTCACAGCAAAAAGGGACATGTACCACCACCTGAAGGTGGGACGGTTTTACAATTATTTAGAAAAGACCTTTTAATTACAAAAAAACAATCAAATAACAAAAAACAAACTACATTGTGTACAAGTTTCAGTAAAATTTTCATGATGTTGAACATTGAGAAGCCATACAATTTCCATATCAAATACAAGTAATCTTCATAGGGTTAACAATTTTCTATCATTTAAAAAAAAATTGGGGAAAGCTACTGCTATGGCTTCATTAGCAACTGACCTCCATTGCTGTTGTCGTAGGGATAGCTGGCCACCACCGCTCCTCCATGGAGATTGGCTGAGAGGACAAAACTTTCTGTCTTTAGCCAGTCCATCACGGCGCTGACCTCCTTCTCCCTTTCCCGCTCGCTATTACCCTCGAATGCATCCGGAAAATTGCGATTCAGGTCCACCCCGTTCTTATTATACCTGCAGGTGGGAAACCGGTTACTCACAGAAAAAAAGCTCAATAAATTAGCTTTTTGGAAATAATTGAGAATATTACCTTCATTCTGGCTCATACCAGTATTTTAGCATTACCCACAGAAATTACACACTTCACCTACATTTTCCCCCACTTATTTCACTCTGCGGTATTACTGTATTTTTTATATGTTTTATTAATTCACTTCATATATTTTAATTGTACACAAATGTTGCAATACAATTGTACGTACAGTGCCTTGCGAAAGTATTCACACCTCTTCTTTTTTTTTTTCACATTTCATGTTGCTTCCTTATGTTAAACTGCCAAAATAATTACATTGCACAAGTATTCATTATTCAGTATTTTCTGGGACACTTGGAATTTAGCTCGGGAACATTCATATCACTTGTAGTTGTTACTACACTTTGAGTTGAGTTAATCAACTCAACACACTCAATGAAAGGTCTAACAGCTGAAAATGCATTTCACAGCAAAAACCAAGCCCTGGGGTAAAAAGAGCTCCTGTAGAGCTCAGAGATAGGATTGTGTCTAGACAGATCTGGGAAAGAGTTCAGAAAAAAATCGGCTACATTGAAGATTGACTGAAGCATGTAGCCTACATTATCTTTAATGGAAGTTTGGAAAAATCAGGACTCTTCCTAGAGCTGGCCTCCTGGCTAAACTGAGCAGTCGATGGAGAAGGGTCTTGGTTAGAGTCATGACCAAGAAGATGCTGGTCACTCTAGTTGAGCTCCATGATCATATATGGAGATCGGGGAAACGTACAGAAGGACAAACATCACTGCAATACTCCACTGATCTGGGCTTCATGGTGGTGTGGCCAGACTCAATTCTTAAGGACCTAAGGACTCTAGACCAGAAAATCTTGTTTCTCTCAGTTTCAATGAACCTCAGTTCCAAGTATCATGTATAGAGAAAACTAGGCGCTGCTCATCACCTGTACAGTAGCATCCCAACAGTGAAGTGTGCTGGTAGCAGCCTCATGCTGTGGGGCTGTTTTTCAGTGGCAGGGACTGGGGGACTTGTCAGAGTAGAAGGAAAGCTCAACGCAGCGAAATATTGAGATAGCCTTAATGAAAACCTAGTCCAGAGCATTCAGAACTGAGTTCTGGGCAGAAGGTTCACCATCAAACAGAACAATGACCCTAAGCACACAGCCAGAGTGGTTTATGGACAACTCAGTGAATGCCCTTGAGTGGCCCAGCCAGAGCTTGAACTCAACTGAACTTTTCTGGAGAAACCTGAACATGTCTTGAGAAAATGAGAGCCATGCAATTAATAATGTGTCTTATTACCCATCTCAGACTTCCATCAAGTTAAGCAAAATCATTAGCATGAACACACAGATCTTGTTCTGCCATTTTCAATGCTGATTTGGGAGTAAAATGTGTTACACTGACAATGGAAATTAGCAAAACGTTTCATAAGTGAACATACGAGGGATATGGGATGTGTTGAGCTTTGCGAATGAAATGCATTCAATTGTTTGAAGTGGCCTGCTTAATACAAACAAATCATTCTTATATACAGTCATCAACAGGGAACAAAACACAGTGGCAGCTTAAGATGACAACCCCAAAACAGTCAAATTTTCTTTTTCTTTCAGACACTCACAATTAAACAGGCTCTTTTTAAAAAATAATTCATGATTAACAGAACCCAAAAACACCGTTTAGTGATGTTGACTCTACTTTCAATACCCCATTACATACCCATTTCTTTCACACATTCGCAACAAATAACATGATCCTTTTTGCAGCCTGAATCTGTGCTGACACCAAAATCTTAAAGGATGAAGAACATCAAAAAGCTAACCAGCAAACTAACAGGCCGTTCGCATTAGCTCGCGCTGATAGGGTCTAAATTTGTGCGGGTGGATTAGTGTGTTCGCCGTGATGCCGTCGGGTGGAGCAGAACAGAAGTGTATCCCTCAGGGATTCCTATCTGCTTACTGTTGCAATGCTTTGAAGTGCTCTTAAACGGTCTCTCTTGGTCAACAAATGCATCAGAGCTAAACCAGCACATCTGGATGCAGGAACACATGCTGAAATATCAATATTGCTATATAAAAATAAAACAAAAGAAAAGAAAAAGGTTTTCCTTATTCATTTTTTTAATTTTACACCTTTTACAACAAATATATATATATGTGTGTGTGTGTGTGTGTGTGTGTGTGTGTGTGTGTGGACCCTCTCATCAAAAAACACTCTCATATATAAAAAGTTTATATTTATCAATATTGCTATATAAAAATAAAACAAAAGAAAAGAAAAAGGTTTTCCTTATTCATTTTTTTAATTTTACACCTTTTACAACAAATATATATATATATGTGTGTGTGTGTGTGTGTGTGGGCGCGCAACAAAAAACCCTCTCATATATAAAAAGTTTACATTGTACTGTACAAGGTCCATTGTGACAAACAGCAACCCAAATTAAGAGTTACACAATGTTACAAAATGCAGCTCAGAGGCTAATGACAATATATTAAAACAAACAAACAGGTTTACTTGTTTTGGTTGGGTTTTGTACAGAGGTTTTGAGGTTCAATAGTCAAGTCTCCCTGGGTGGTCGACATCAAAACGCATATAAAACCAACCCAGGCGCAATAAACAGGATGTGTGTGTGTGTGCCACATTTCGCTGACGTTTAAACACAGAGCTGTTTCTTCCTGCTTTCACAATATAGTAATAATATAATAATAATAATAAAAGTCTTAAAAAGCTGGCCTGCACTCTCATCCTCAATGGCAGAGACGAGCTTGTTTATGCCAGGTTCTCTCACAAATATTGGAGCTCTTCAACTTGTTTGAAAGATTTTTGAAAACAGATTAAGCACCACATTAATCCACTCAGATTCTCGTGTCTGGATCGGATTGGCCTTGGGTTGTTTTCTTTTGCTGATTGCCGGCCTCATCCAGACACCGGATTCCTCTCTTAAGACCCTCGAATCTAAATCACGGTGGATGCTTAAGCTGATCGAAGTGACGTGAAACAGATTCGGGCATAAAAATGGTTGATTAGCAGCTTTTGGCTCTATTAAGTATTTGTCTAAAAGAGCTCTTGAGGTTTCCATTAGTGGTGAGCTGTTAGTTTGATGGGGCAGAACAGATCGCTGCAGGCTTATCGCTCTTGTCTATATTCTGTACCTGTGACTCATGTTGGCCATTTCTCTTTTACGAGCTCAGGATTTTGTTAGGGTAGCTCATCCTGGGTCAGTCTAAAAAGGCACATTGCTCCATCTGAGATATATAGCGTGATAAAGGAGGTAAACCCGATAGGGTTTACTTTCCTTCAACCACTGTTTATATGTAATGACAGCCTGGAGTTGATCCATCATGGTGTTTTCAGGATTCTGAAACTAGAAATCAGTGCAACTTTACACACACATTCCTTGCCACACAGTTAGATTTCTAAGCATGCACACATGCAGCCATAAAATCTTTGTCAGCCTGCACTCCAGGTCTGTCAGTATAATTTGGAGGAGTATCAGGGGTGTCACGGGGCGTCTGGATGTGTTAGCGCTATTAATCTCTGAGTGAAAGACTTTTAATAGTGTTTATGTTGTGCTTTGTGGCTGTGGAGAGATCAGTGCAGAATGGAAATATTTCTGGTGTGTTTCACTGATCCTTAAAGGAATAGCTTACCAAAAATTCTGTCACTGTTTATCGAATCTTGTTGTTCCAAATCTTGAAGTGAATGGGAACTGGGGCTGTCAAATTCCAAATATGACAAAACAACACCATAAAAGTATCAATAAAATCGTCCATTCGACTCGTGGAGTTTCAAATAATTTGTTATTAATATTTACGTTTGTGTGCATTCAAAGATACTAGTTTTTCATCCAGAAGTTCAAAATTATGCAAATACATTTACATAAAATACAAATTGGTTAAAAAAAGACAAAATAATGCTTTAGATTTCCGAGAAGAATACTTTACGCCATTGCATGCAGTGTGATGAGGTTTGAAACGTCAGTTCTACAATAATAATTACGATTTCTCTTAACAGGTTTTAAAATAATGTGCAGGACACTGTATATACTGTGTAGGACTCAGTAAGTAGTAAGCCAGTATCCCATTCCTAAATCCTCATTCCACCCCACCCTTCCCTGTCTGCCATTGTTCAGAGCCAGAGCTTGACATGTCAGACTGCTCTAACAAACGCAAATGTTTGTTAGAGCAGTTTTCAAAGCACCACAGAGCCACACTGATTACATTGTTTAGGAAGTCAACCTAGATTAGTTATAATTATCCCTGTACATTAAAATGAGGCAGAAATTGCATGTTGCCCTTTAAAGAACAATACTCTTTATGTGTACGGTGTTTGAGAGATGTAAAAGATGGAACCAAGATGTAGTGGCTGTGTTCTACTGCAGACTCTCAAACTCAGCCTGAGGAAAAATTCCTGCAGTCCAGCTGTGCTTTCGGCATCAAATTATAGTACTTTAGTTAAAAACCTCAGACGAGTTTGATTTGCGCCAATGACAAATCGACCGTTCGTGTGCGTGTTCGCTTCTTTCCGCAGTGAGAAAATGAGGAACGCCGGGCCAAAATGTCTGGATCTTTTGATCGCCCTAACCATCTAAATCTAAAACCTCAAAAGTTGTCTTTTCTTAAATCGGAAGGTCAAAGTACTGCCATATTCGACATAAATCTGACAACAGTGTGGATTTCATTTGCTACCAAATATAGTCACAGTACAACAGCGTGTGAAAATAGACCACTTCCCAAATGAATTTATCAGAATGTCCGTTTCCTATCAATTAGTCCTTTGAGAAAAAACATTTCCTCTCAATCTAAAGGATGACAACATGATATTGCTAATTACGGTCTGTAACTCATATCTGCAAGGAGCTAATGTTTTTTTTTTTTCACAGACTAACAACAGAGATTATCCAAGCAATCTACTGTATTAGATGCCAAGGATGATTTTATTTAATAAACTATTGAACTTTTTTGGGGCTATATATAAATATGTCC